TGCAAAGAAAGCCTTTTTTACTACACAACTGGTCTAATTTTCCCCTCCTTCTTTATGATTTGTCTCTTAAACTTTCTGATAGTTATGTATTTGGTTAAAGTTGACTCAGTTTCATTCGTTTCTGAATAGTGTGCATAGATTCATTCAATAAATACACTTGAATTCTTACTGTGTGCCGGGTCTTTCTTAGGTAGCAGGATATAATGGACAAAGCCTACAAAATTTCTGCCCGACTGGAATTTGTGTTATAATTGAAGGAAAATGAACAATGAACTAATTGTGCACAGTGTGTGTAAATAATGAGTGTTTTGTGGAAAACACAAGGCAGAGAAAAAGGAAAGGATTTGTGAAGTGCAAATCAAATCAGGAACGGTTTTGCTCAGGAGGCAAAATCTGAAGAAAATAAACCATACAAGGGAGTGAGCCAGTCACATCCCAGGGACAGAGTGACACAGGCACTGGGAATGGCAATATACCTGGTTATTTCAGGGTCATCAAGGAGACGATGTCTATGTGGCAAGGTAGAATGAGGGAGAGCAGATGATGTGGTCCGAGAGATCACGTGGAGCCAGAAGTGGAGGCTCTCCAGACTGAAGTAAAGAGCATGGCTCTGAGCAAGATGGAGTGTCAGTCTGCTGTACCTCCTTCAACAAAATTCTGTAGATTGGATGACTTAAACAACAGAATATTTTCCTCTCAGTTTTGATGGGTGAAATTCTGATACTAGAGTGAATACATGGTCAGTTTCTGGTGATGGATTCCTTCCTAGCTTGTGGATGACTTCCTCCTTTCTGTGTTTTCACAAGCAGAATGCAGTAAGAACAGACGCTGTTGTCTCTTCTTCCTAAGGTTCTGAGGCTCACTTTCAAAACCTCTCTAAAATATTAATGTCCCGTAAGCACCATTTCCACCACCTTCCATGTTCTGAATGTCTGTGTGCCTCCAAAATGCATAGGTTGAAACCTTAACTCCTAGGAGGTAGGACCTTTCATTAGGGTTAAGGTCACGAAAGCAGAGACCTCATGAATAAGATTGCTGCTCTTATAAAAGAGAACTAAGAGAGACTTCTTGAACATTCTACCCTGTGAGGACATCGTGAGAGGATATTGCTTATGAATCAGAAATGAGGCCATCACCGATAGACAGAACTGCAAGTGTTTTATATGTGGGAAACAGAGAAAGTGAGAAGTGAAGAATGACTGATAAGATGAACAAGAAATGGAATTTCTACTGATAGAGATGGAAAAGCTGTAGATGGAGAAGGTCTGGGGGAGATAGAACCAGGAATTAAGCTCTAGATATGGTTAATCATGAAATGTCTATCAGAAATCTAAATGGAGATGTTGGTTATACAACAGGCAGGATCGACAAGACACAGTTGCAGTTGCAGACATATATTTGGGAAATGTCCACATTTTAAAGCTGTGTTATCAACTAAAAACTAAGTGAGTGGAGATTTAGTAAGTAAAGAGGAAGTGAAAGGACCAACAATTGAGGTACAATAATATAAATAGTTTGATAAAATGAGACAAAGTTGGCAAGAGATTAAAAGGTAAGACATAAGAGAGTGAATACTGTAAGTCAAATGAAAAGAATGTTTTACCTATATAGAGATGACCAACTTCAGAACTGAAAATAATCCCAATATTGACCAATGGAGGAATAGATAAACAGAATGCCAGGGCATCCATGCAACAGAATAGTATTTGAAAATGTAAAGTAAGACACTCTTGATTATCGAGACCTATCTCACAAAAAATGTACTAAATAAAAGAAGCCAAAGACACATATACAAAGAGACGGCAGGTTGCTTTATTCCATTAAAATGAAAGTTCTAGAGAAGGAAAAACTGTAGAGTCAGTAATTAGATCAAAAATTGCCTAGAGACATGGGTGGGAGAAAGGTTGAATAACTGAAATGACAGAGTGTTCTAACACTGAGTTTTGGTGATGATGACACAAGTGTATAAAATTCATTGAATTGCACATTTAAAATGGGTGAATGTTATAGATTATAACTTGCACCTCAAGAAATATGTCAGAAAGGACGTGCCCTAATAAAAGAAGGGTGGGGGGTGTAACTGTGTCAGGGCTTGTGGAACTTACCATTCCAGGTGTTTTTCTTTTCAAAGTGAGACAGGATGCAGAGTTATCAGCTCAGATAAGGATGGAAGACACATGGGAGATGTAGCGAAGAACAAAGAATCAGGCCTTTTTTCCTATTGATCTTTGAGTTGTACTTGAAGTTTATAGTTTGGGTTTTAATTTGAGGTCAGTCTGCACACCATGGTTGCTTTGTTTGGTTTTGTGTACATGGTTTTGTTTTTTGTCTTTTGGGTTTTAAAAACAGAGTCATATAAAGGTGAATAGGCTCAGGTATGCAGTAGATGGAGACTGGATTTATACCAGGATTAGGGTTTTGTCAACTGTCCAATCATTGTGGTGAAGCAAAAGAAGGATAAGGGAACTGGTGGTTTTTTTTTCTTTTATTATTCATATGTGCATACAAGGCTTGGGTCATTTCTCCCCCCTGCCCCCACCCCCTCCCTTACCACCCACTCCACCCCCTCCCGCTCCCCCCACCCCCTCAATACCCTGCAGAAACTATTTTGCCCTTATCTCTAATTTTGTTGTAGAGAGAGTATAAGCAATAACAGGAAGGGACAAGGGTTTTTGCTGAAGTTATACTCAAAAATATGACAGTGATCACGGAAAAAGGAGAACTGAAGGAGGGAAAGTGGAGCGAAAAGGACACAGGATCAATGGTTTATCAATTTGCATGAGATTAAAGAACTCCCAGAATCAGAGAACCAGAGGGAATGAGCAAAAATTAAACACTGTTCAAAGAAAAGGCACTTGTAACTACAGCAATTGAGAGATAACAGCTCTTGGTAAGAGCCTATCAAGTGCCCATGTTGGTTGTAAAACAAGACCATTGAGCAATCATCTTGCTTTATGCAAGATGAGGTTCAGAGATCAGTTTTTATTAAATAAAGTATACATATTCTTATATTATATGTATTTTATCACATATGCAATTCATTATACTATTTTCCACCAGAAACCTCTGGAGCTTTCTCTGCCAAGTGTAACCTTGCAGTTTTGCATTCTATATTGTCCCCTCCCATTTCACTTGTTTTTCATTAATACATGTTCTAATGCATGTTGGGATATAGAAGCCTTGTTTTCCCACAGCAGTCACTCCACATGACTCCTTAGCCTTAGAGGTGCCCTAATAAAAGAAGGGTGGGGTGTGACTGTGACAGGGCTTTGGAACATATCTTCCAGGTTATTTTCTTTTCAAAGTGAAACAGGATGTAGGGTTATCAGCTCAGAGTAAGGATAGAAGACACATGGGAGATGTGGATTTTAATTGGATTTGATTTTTTCATCTTCTATAGAGCCCATCGTGGTCTTCTTCTCTTCTTTGCTCTTTTCCCTTTCTCCTCCTCCTCCTTTCCTTTGTAATGCTGACAATTATTCTTCTAACACTACTCTTCAAACTAAACTGATTTAATGAGCAACAGTAGACATCACCCATACTGATACTCTAGAATTTCCTTAACCTACAGAAAATTGTCCTACTGGTCAAGACCAAAACATATGTTGCCTTGAAGGAAACTACATCTGGATTTAGATGTAGGTAAGATTATATGTTCTTACTCTAAACTCCCCAAACTGCTCATAGAAGGATGGAATGACAGCTGACATATAAGAACTCTATGGGAACAAAATAGAAATTATTCCCAATTGTGATTTTGTCCAAGTTTCAAAGCAAAGTATTTTCAGAAATATTATCCCCCTAAAATGTGGTGTATTTTATTTTCAATTAAAATTCAAAGCAAAATAGAACAAACCATTAGGGGTGTGGTGGTAACTCCTGTAATCTTAGCTTTTTGGGAGGTAGAGGTAGGAGGTTCACAGTGGGCAAAAGCATGAGAACCCATCTGAAAAACAAAAGGACTGGGAGTGTGGAAGGTAGGATGAGGATGACTCATGTGGTAGAGTGAGTCCAATCCCCATTATCAGAAAAGCAAAACAAAACAAAAATTCTAGACTGAGTCTGATGAAGATGAAAAAGCTTAAGAAAATTGATGTAGGTTCTTTCATTATTTTTGTTGAGAATTATCTATACTAGACTCTAAATGGGACCCATTGCTAAACTGGCAATATAACTTTGAAACAAACCTGGCTGTCACACTAAATAAAGAAAATTTGATTATGATACCAGGACCCTGAATTGTTCCCAGTGTTGTGATTTTCTGAGGTGTTTGTTAGTTAAAACAAGCTTGTGCTCCATGCCCTCTGCCTCAGCTCCCTACCCCTTCTCTTTCTCTTTCTCTTTCTTTTTCTCTCTCTTGTTAATTGATATTGGCCTCTCTTAAATTTTATTATAGAAACACTATACTGAGGTGCAAAGAGGAACTCATCTCAAATTATAACATCTAAGCAAAATGAATATAATTAGCTATGAGCTGCCCAAAGTGCATACAATTAATGAGTACAGTTTGCTATTCTGTGTCCTTAAATTGCATGAAATCCTTGTCTTATAGGAAAGACCTCAAGTCCCCAAAAACATAACAAGTATGCTACAATTTTGTTTGACTCTCAAAAACTATTTCTTAGCAGTTTTTGTTCCGGTGTGGCAAAGAACGCTCTAAAGAGCCAAGTTTTCAGTTTATCTCTGAAAGAAAATGTACATTGGTATTCTATTAACTCAGCTGATACTTCAAACAGTTTTGAAAGTTTTCATTCTCTCTGTTTATCACTTCCCTTGTGCTCCAGGCGATATATTCCTCACTGATGGCAGGCAGAGGTGCGACCAAGACAGTCAACAGTTAGAATGGCAATAAAACCGTCTTACAGAAAGCACGTAGTCCCCCGATCAGTAGTGAGTAGGGTAAAAGATCCTCAATTATGAATTCCCTGTCAATGAGCCATCTACAAAAATGAACATGCAGTAGAGGAGAGCACATAAACATAGAACGGATCCTACCGTACCTGGTGGATGAGGCGGAGGAGAGCACATGAGAACAACCCCCTGGCCTTCCCTCACGGACACTGCACTTCTTGTCCGGCCACTAAAATTTCCCAGATCTGTCAACATAACACAGCATTTAGATGCAAGGCAGAAGAATTTCAAGAATTACCACTATTGTAACTTGTACTTATTTTTCCATTGTTATCCTGACAAAGTTTCTTTTTTGTTTGTTTCCCAGTGATAGGAGGGACTTAAAAATAAATCAGTATTATCAATTTTAAATGTCACAAATTAAATAAATCTATAGTATTCATAGAAATACCACATTTTTATTTCTATTTACAGTATTATAGGAAGAAACTAAGCAGCACATTATCTTATCTCTTAATAATTAATCTTTTTTTAAACAAGCAAAATGCATTCATTCACAGCAAGGAGAGAAATGGAAGTGGTTAGGGGTGCCTGGTGTATAGCCTGTTGCCTCACTGGGAGTCACATTAATAATAGTGTGTAAAACCAAGCATCAACTTGCAAAGTGAGAGAACATTGTAAGCTCTCACAAAATATACTAACAGGAGGAAGGATTTGTTTGCTGTAAGTGTGAGTGTGAAAGTCATGTAACTTCATTTTATGGAAGCTTAAAATGGAGTCTATGAATTAATTATACCCATCAATTTTGATTAGGCTGGGAGTATCACAGTTATTAAAAACATAGAGATAGATGAGGGATGAGAGCATTGGATTCAATTGTCTTCCCTGGAATGATGTTCCATTTCACAATTTGAAGACATTCCTAAAAAGGAGTGCTCCAGAAGGAGATAATGTGTAACTTTATTTGCACTTCCATTCTTACTTATTAATGGAGTCATAACTCAGGACAGATACTTTTTCCCTTCTCTTGAGCTGGGTTAGTAAGATGATTTTATGATAGCTTTTTGCAAAGACAGAACTTAATACTTTCTTAAATAAACATTGTCCCTGAATTCTGGGTCTGTAAAATAATGTCTCCATGGTGAGAAATGCTTTGTAAAATCTTCTGCCATTCATTCCATTATATAAAAATTGTAAGAGATTTTTTACATCTTTTAATTATTTTATCCTAAAGCGGTGTGTTTCATAACAATATAAGTTATAGCCTCAAATTTGATGTTTATTAAACTGACAAATAATGAAATTAATCAAGAGAATTGACTGGATGAATTTAAAGGAGGCAGATTGCCAGGGGAATCTTCTATAGTACTTCTTTTGAGAAGGGTGACAATTTTCTTATTTGTAGAATTTATAGTGCTTGTTAAATACATCCACAATGATGGAGAACTAATAGACAGTGAAGACAGTACCAAAAAAATGGGCAGAAAGACATTCATTGCTCCAGAAAGGGTTAAGGGTTGTATATATTCCTCCAGGTTTTATGGCGAACAGGTAATATTTTTATTCCTCAGCAAAGCTAAAGGGAAGGAACAATCCCAGTTCTACTTTTTTTTGGGTGGGGGGTGGTTATTTGAAAACTACCTACTCTAACTTGATAGTAAAACACAAGCTCATTCATTTTCAATGTACATAACTCACCAAGGTTACCCTTCTGGTCACTATCAGGAAGTAGTATGTTTGCTGGTTTTTGGATTTCCCAGGTATGGATCAGAAGCAAATGAATTGTGTGAGTCATGGTTGTAAATTCATGTTTACTGATTCTTGGGGGGCAGAGACTGTCTTTTTTCCCAGCAGATGATCTTAATATGAACATAAAGGTTAGCAATGCTTCTAATTTGACTTTGACTCTAGCCTTAGAATTATAACACAAGTCATTTGAAAAGGGACTGGGCACTGAAGGGCTTTACTGCATCTCAAAGAACGTGTGGTTTTATCTTTATTGAGTTTATAAATCTTGAAGGGCATTTGGATATTAACCAAATTTCTTAAATTATTTTGACACATTTCCCTAAATTTAGAATTTGTATATTATGACATTTCCAATAGACCTATTATAGTTCAAAGAATATTGTAAGAGAAACAGTCCTACATTAGTGCCCACTTCTAAGCAATTGAAGTACAGGCATGGCCTAGAAATTAGATACACACAAAAAGAGAGAACTGTAGAATAATTATGACCTGAATTGTGTTTTGAGATCACAGTGACCCAAGAGATCTCACTCAGCTGTAATTGCTCTATTTTGCATCAGCTGTTAATCCAAGTACAATCAAGAGTTTCTCAGATAATTGTCTCTGTGTCATTATTTTCCAGGAACTATAGCACCATCGATACAAAAATAAATGGATATTTTTAATTATAAATAGAACCTTTGCCTTTTTCTTCAAAATGGGAGAGTAGGGCTGGGGGCATGGCTTAAATTCTAGAGTGATTGCATAACATATGCAAGGCCCTGGGTTCAATACCCAGTACAGAAAAAAAAAATCAAGAAGAGTATATGTTTCTCATTTAATTCCTTCCCAGAAAAAAGTGGAGCATTATTATATGTAATGTAAAAGTGGTCTTTGTGCCAGAGAAGATTTCAACTGATCTATTATGAAATTCTTAGTTTGTGTGAAATTAAAAGCTAGCATGAACAGAGTGAAAACAGCTCCTTGTTTCTATGTCATTGTGAACAGAAAGCACAGTTTCTTTCATTTTTTTAACCAGCTGATAATTTTTTAACACAAAGACTATAAAGTAGTGATATTATCAAAATTGTAGATATATTATACTGTGTGTATTTCAGCTCCTTAGAAAATTATAAGCATGTTAAAAACACATTTATACCTCACTAACAACATCAGAAATCTCAGGGCACAACTGTGCAGTTTGGACGCTCATATTATTTCAGTGTATTGTATATTCATGTAGCAAGGAAATAAATGGAAAAAAAGAGTAACACAGATGTGGGATTTAGTTTATTGAAATTTTCCCAGTGTCAAAATTATATGTACATATTTTCTGTTTTTGACCTTTAAGAAAAAAAAAAAGAATGAAAACACAAATCCACATACCAGTTCTCTAAAATTATTCTTTGACTTATAAACTGAAATTAAACTTTTTCTGTAATTACTATAAAGCACGTGACACAGACAAGTAATAGGAGAGTCCCAAGTCTGATCTTTGATTTGACCTTTCTTTCTGAGTTAAAAAATATGTGCAGAATTTAATAGGGAAATTTAAATGGAATTTCTGCTTACAGAATATTTTCACCCGTTCATTCTAGAAGAACCACGCAAAAAAAAAAAAAAGAGGCCTGAAATAAATAAAGCGATTGATATTCATGGATGACAGACTATATTGTGATGCCAAGCATTTTGGCCATATATCAGACAAATTAATAATCATTTCACAAATATTCACACACTGAACACTGGACACCATGCTAACTACTGGTCACAGAAACCCTGAAAAATGAACAATGTGAATACATGAACTAATTGTACCTACTTGGGCTAACTGTCCACAGTTCAGAGGTATCTGTGCCACTAAATAGATGTATGAGCCCAATTGTCACAGCTTCAGCTTGTCACAAACTCATTCATGAGTGACCAATAGCTATCTCCTAAATAAGATCCACAAACACATGTATACCAACATGCACACACACTCTTTCAACTCTTTAACATCCTCCTTCCTTTTCCCTTCCTTCCTTCCCTCCTCCCTCCTTCCCTCCCTCCCTCCCTTCCACCTTTCTTTCTGACTTCTGTTATTGTTTTCTTTCCTAAGTTAAAAAAATAAAAAAACAACGCAACTTCTTTTTTGGGCCAGGACTTACTAAGTTGACCAAGTGCCCTTGAACTTCTAGGCTCAAGGGATCCTTCGGTGTCAGGCACCTGACGATTTGGAACTGCAGGCACTACCACCTGTGACTCACAAGTTTAAATGGATTTAAGAGAGACCAAAGCAAAGACGGTGTCATGATTTTAAGATCAAAGCTTTCTAGTAATTCAGGAGAGGCACCGTTTTACCTGATATTAAGGTCTAAGAGGAAATTCCTCCTGCAAGATTTCACAAGTGGGAGGGATAGTGGGCGGGGTAATTTTACAATCCCATTAGGAAGCCTTTTCATCCCAAGACCCCTGAAGTACGTGTTGTGGGAGTTTCACACACACGCATATGCACTTAAAAAATCAGTCCCCAGAAAGAAGTTTAGACTTTAAAATATTAAAGTACTGGAGAGAAAGTGAATACAGGAAACTGGCAAAAGGGACAGGCAGAAGGGATTCAGGCACACAGGGTAAGCTGATTTAATCGCTGGGGAGGAGTGAAGGTACGTGGTCATGAAAAGACAGAACCTTATGCAACTATGAGCAAAAGCATGTGGTCCCATCCGTGACCTGGACTCTCCTTTCCTCGTCCTAAATCTTTTCTGAATAAACGGTGGTGTTAGGTTTACGGGAGTTGTGCGTATGGAAGGAACAGAAGCGGAACACTAATTTTGACTTTTGCTTGGCCATGCATTCACTTATCCTGGGGTGGGGCCAGGGAGTTCTAGATTACCAGTGTTCCCACAACTAATTCTAACTTTAAAAATGCTATGGATATGGATATATTTCAGCACATATTGTAAGCATTTTCCTACAAGTGAGAGTTTGACTTGTCACAAAAAGTAAAACCTCTTGAAAGGACAAATCATGTTAGACTAAGTGTCAGAGACTTCAGTTTTAGTTAGCTCCATCTGTAAAAGTGGTTGTAAGATTTCACTGTAGGAAAGACTGAGCGGGAGGACTGGGTGCTCTTTCGGAGGGCCTGTGCAGCTTTCAGTTCTGTAATTGCTATAAAAAGTGGCAAGTTTTCGAACTCGGACTTGGTACTTGCTGCTTCATGTGCAAAGTGATTGCATACTGAAGTCTTTCATCAGTTGTATTTGTTGCTCCTGTTATTATTATCATCAGGATTATTCAGGTCATTGGTAGATTTTTTTTGTGTCCTGTGCAAATATCCCGCAATAAACATTGATCAGACTTAATTCAGAAGTTATTTTTGGCCTTCCAAAATGTTGACCAAAAAGGGGAGTGGTGGTGGGAGCAAAAGAAATTGAATAAAAATAATCATAGCAGCTTTCATACCTACACTATGCCAGGCATCCTGGAATTGGAGAGTAGCACTACTGTTCTAAAGATCACTTGGTTTTGGTGGTGT